CGAAAAAGTGGCTAGCCCAGAAAAGGTTCGGCGGGAACTTAATCTTCGCTGCTGCCAAATGGTGCGCTTGGGAGTGGTCTCTCCCCCCCACCGCACCTTGCCCCGCGCCAAGACGAATCTCCTCCAACGGAGAAGACGACCATCGTCCCACGAAGAAGCTGCTATAAACCTACGAAGAAACGACCGTCGTCCTGCGAAGAAGTGACCCTCGTCTGGCGGAGAAACGACCAGCGTTTGCGTCATGATCCTCGTTGACTGCGCCGATCCTCGGAAACATTGCTCGTGTGGGCCAATCGATCGTAGTGGAGGGTCGGGGCATGTAGAGACGAGAAAGCAGAAAAACACGCGGAACACGACAAAAAGAACAAACGAATGATCCGCATACAAAAAGGTTGAGGTTTCTAAATATTTTTAAACAGTTTTTTTGAATGTTTTTGATATTTTTGTTGCAAAACGTTATTCCACAAGACCGGGCAAATATTTACAATATTTACAAAGCTAAAAGTAATTATACTGTACTTAGTTGGAAGAACGAAAGGGCTTACGAACGTCCCGACCACGGCGATTGGTCATGGGAGGAGACGGACTAGATTCCGGAGATGTAGAGACGGCCCATGCTTGTAGACCGGGATCTTGGACTGGTTGAACTACACTAGGATGCTGAAAGTTACTGCAGTGAGTTGTGATGTCGCATGAAGCACTACTAGATGAAGTAGACGAGGTGGTTTCTTCCAAAAAGGCAGGCTCCAGATGGTCGATGGTGACAGCTGCGCGTCGGCCACCGCGGACGATCGTGTAGGTCTTAATCGCACGGTGTAGCACTTTGAAAGATCCTACGTACGATGACTGAAGAGGCCGTCAAACACCGTCTGCTCGAAGAAGGACGTGTGAACATATAGAAAGCTTCTCGGGCACGTATACTAGTGTGTTCTGGGATCAAAGAGCGGGTGGGCATAGCTCACGCTTCTGGTGAGCCAATCGATCGATGTAACTTTCGTAGTCAAAAGAGAAATAGACGGGGCTGGTGCCACTATTTGTCCAAGCAAACGCAGCGCACAGCCGTAAACTAGCTGCGCTGGCGTTGGGTCGAAGTCAGTTTTAACAGTTTCTTAAGCCTAGGAGTACGAGAGGATGTTTTTCAGATCATGCAGGATCTGCGTACGTACGTAGCGCTGCCTTCAACTGGCGGTGAAAACGCTTCACCATGCCGTTAGCGGCCGGATGATACGCCGTCGTCTGAACGTGGTGACAGCCTAAATCCTTAAGCAACGTGGCAAAAGTCGACGAGAAATGCGACCCTCGATCGGTGGCCACGATGGCGGGATAGCCGTACTAAGCTACCCAGCGCTCCAGAAAAGTTTTCGCTACTGTTTCCGAAGAGCAGTTCGGTATGGGAATGTTACATGTGTGTCGTCCGTTAAACCGGTGAGCCGATGGGCAACACAGACACATACAGATCGATTGACCGATAGCTGATTCGTCCACTCTTTTTCCTTGTGCTGATTGGTTCCTTTTCGACTTATTCATCTGGTGTAACCTACAAGCTATCTATTACAGTTTTTGACACGTCCCATCCGGTGTGTGTTCTTATTCACTTCTTGCGTGGACTAAGGGTCAGTTGTGATCCAGCAATACTCGAGTAATACGTATCAGAATGGCGACGGTTGCTACGAGCCCTCTTGCGGGACTGTCATGTCTGTGGCCTGATGGTGCAGAAAAACCCTCTCTACAGCCGTGGGTACAGTGGAAAACATCTTTCCAACATCAAATGACTCTCTTTCCTGTGTTAAACCCCTCTATCGTGTTATCCGATACCCATTGGATTATGTTATTCCGCCAAGCCCTTGGATCAGAAGGACAACGTCATTTTGACGCTATGAACTTGATGGCTAAGACCAGTATTGTGCGCGTGATCCAGTTGCCTGAGGAATTGTGGGGAATCCAACAAAGTGTGTTTTCCGCTCGTTATCAGTTTTTCAAGCTACAGCAACGATGCGGAGAAAGTGCAAATGATTTCATTGCCCGCATTCATCAAGCTACACCGGAATGCCGGTACAATACCATTCCCTCAAGTCGGTTTGAAGAAGTCATGAAAATTCAGTGCCTATTTGGTGGAGTTACAGATGATGGTGCGAGGGAAAAAGTATTGTCCCAGGAGGAAGAAACCCTTTCCTGGGAAATGGCGTGTAACCTTGTACGTCAAAGGGAAAACCTAAATTCCCAACTATCCACCTTCAACCCTCCTCAGCCTGTGGAATGTGTAAACAAACTGTCACCACGGTTATTCTCTGAAAACAGGGTACGGAAGTTCGTCTGCTACCGATGCGGGGATCAGCACACTTTTCCCACCCAGTGTCCTCATACTCGTACAAAGTGCAGAAATTGCGGAAAACTTGGCCACCTGGCACGTGTTTGTCGTTCTCCACGGTCACAAGTCTCGATCAAATCATTGAAATCCGACGACGGTAAGTGCCCAGATTCCCAGCTAAATTTTATGAACCATATAATTTCAAACTGCTCAGTTATGACGAAAGTGTCTCCATATAGGATCACGCTTCATGTTAATAACGAACCTGTTTTATTTGAATTGGATACTGGTTCCGCGGTGACATTGATCAGTAAAAACGCGCTCTCATCGTTACCCGACCTGGAACCGACTGATACCGTTTTTAGAACCTATACAGGAGAAGTGATTGATTTACTTGGGAAGTGTCAGGTACGAGTGCAGCATCAGGGTAGATCACACAGTCTGGTACTTCATGTCGTGCCTCAGGCTCCAGTCAATTTGCTTGGTCGCGATTGGATGAAAATGTTACCACAAGTATTAAATACTATCCACTCCGTGGGGGAGGATACCTTTGAATCGGTCCTTAAACGATATCCAGAAGTGTTTGACGAGCAGCAATTGCGCAGACTCAATAATTTTAAAGCAAAAATCCATATGTCAGACTCAAGTACACCAAAGTTCTTTAAGGCCAGAACACTGCCCTATTCCTTACGACCTAGAGTGGAAGACGAGCTGAAAAGGCTTCAAAGAGAAGGTATAATTGTAACAGTCCAACAAGCTGAATGGGCGGCCCCGATAGTGCCTGTACTTAAGCCCGACGGCAACGTACGAATCTGTGGTGATTATAAGCTTACAGTAAATCGAGGTGCCATCATAGACCGTTATCCATTACCGAAAATTGAGGATTTGTATGCCAACTTGTCTGGAGGAGTCAAGTTCACTAAATTGGATTTGAGTCACGCCTATTCGCAGGTAGAGTTGGATGAGACCTCCAGACGTCTTACGACGATCAGTACACATTTGGGGCTATTCGAATACACTAGACTGCCTTTCGGGATTAACTCAGCGCCGGCGATCTTCCAAAGGATAATTGACAATATCGTGCGTGACATACCGAACACTTGCGCATATCTCGATGATATCCTTATCACGGGTCGCACAGAAAAGGAGCACTTGTACACGTTGGACCGGGTGTTGCATAAACTCTCTGAACACGGTTTGCGTTTGAAACGCTCCAAATGTGCTTTCCTAGTTGATTCAGTTGACTACCTCGGTTATAGACTGGACAAGCATGGTTTACACGCGCGGAAAGATAAATTACAACCCATTATTTCTGCACCCTCACCTCGTAACGGAACCCAGTTACGCTCGTTCGTTGGAATGCTTTCACATTATCGTCGGTTCCTACCTAACCTTGCTTCTGTTCTAACACCACTTCACAACTTGCTGAAAAATGATTCTAAGTGGGCATGGGGCGAGGAAGAGCAACAAGCATTTGACAGGGCAAAAGATCTCCTTGCTTCTTCACCAGTCTTGGTACATTACGACCCCAACAAACCCCTCATCCTACAGTGTGATGCTTTACCTTTTGGAGTCGGGGCAGTGCTGGGACATAAAGTCCACGACGGAACAGTTCGCCCTATTGCTTTCGCGTCCCGCACGTTACAACCTGCTGAGAAAAATTACGCACAATTAGACAAGGAAGCACTGGCCGTAGTATTCGGAGTAAGGCGGTTCCATCAGTACTTGTGGGGCAACCAGTTTGAGATACAGACTGACCATAAACCACTGTTATCACTTCTCGGTAAGGAACGAGGCATAGAACAGCTTAACGCACCCCGAATGCTACACTGGGCCCTCCTACTTTCTGCTTACAATTATCAAATCCGATACATTGCTGGTCCTCACAATAATGTCGCTGATGCGCTCAGCAGATTGCCACAGATTGACCAACAGGAGGAAAGAAGTGACGCGCCCTGCGAGTTTGTTCAACTTTTGCAACACCTGAATACTACACCCATATCTGGCGACATGGTTAGGAAACCTACAGACAGAGATCCCGTTCTATCGACTGTGAAACGTATGCTGCTGCGTGACTGGGGTTCGCGAGCCCCTGGTGATCTGCGTCCGTTTTTCAATTGTAGATTTGAGCTGAGCCTGCATGAAGGATGTATCCTACGTGAATCTCGCATCATTATTCCATTGACCCTCAGGTCAGCTGCACTGAAAGAATTACATGATGCACATCCAGGTATTGTCCGCATGAAAGCCCTCGCCAGATCCTACTGCTGGTGGCCAGCGATTGACTGAGACATCGAAGCACTTTTGAGTACTTGTAACACATGCCAAAAATATCAAAGAGATAATCCAACAGGCCCAATTCACCCTTGACAGTTGCCCGACAGCCCATGGGAACGTGTCCATGCCGATTACTTTGGCACGATCGAAGGAAAAATGTTGCTACTTTTAGTAGATGCGTACTCCAAATGGATTGATGTGCATGTTGTTGCAAACGCTACTGCAGAAGCTACAATCAATGGCGTACGCTCTAGTCTATCTACACATGGCATACCGAAAACATTAGTCACTGACAACGGTCCGCAATTTACGAGTGCAGCGTTCAAAGAATACCTGCAGAGCAACGGCGTTCATCACATGACTTCCGCACCGTACCATCCAGCGTCAAATGGTTTAGCTGAAAGAGCGGTCCAAACCGTGAAAGCTGGTCTTCTAAAGCAGAGTAATGGCTCGTTACGAACCAAACTTGACCGATTCTTGTTCGCATATCGGATCACACCGCTAGAGACTATCGGAAAGAGCCCTGGGGAGGCAATGTTTGGGCGTCGACTACGTACGAGGCTAGACCTACTTTTTCCAGACCCTCGTCAGACCAGGCGTTGCCAGCAACAACGTATGCATGAAAGTGGACGCGCACCAGTTAAGCCCCAGAAGTCGATAGTGGAACGTGATGTTTACACGAAACTACCACATGAGCAATTATGGCAGTCTGGCACCGTGCTTACGAGCTCAGAAACGGAGACCGAAATACAACTAGAAAATGGAGAGACAGTACGCAGGCATAATGATTTCATCCGGCCCCGCACCCCAGTCACACCGTACCCTGGGGAAGAGAAAGTGGTTCCAGAAGATCTGGAGGAGGCAAACAAAAACCAAACGGAAGAAATCGATCAGCCGATTGCTATTCGGAAACAGCACCGCTCACCTAAGCCGATAGAACGTTACATTTCACAAATGTGATTCCATCTGTCACGTGAGGGGATGTTACATGTGTGTCGTCCGTTAAACCGGTGAGCTGATGAGCAACACAGACACATACAGATCGATTGACCGATAGCTGATTCGTCCACTCTTTTTCCTTGTGCTGATTGGTTCCTTTTCGACTTATTCATCTGGTGTAACTTACAAGCTATCTATTACAGTTTTTGACATGTCCCATCCGGTGTGTGTTCTTATTCACTTCTTGCGCGGACTAAGGGTCCAGGTGCGATCCAGCAATACTCGAGTAATACGTATCAGGGAATAGCTTCGGGCCACCTAGTTAATCGATCGACACAGGTCAGTAGATATACAGAGCTTTTAGAATGCAGCAGAGGACCTACGAGGTCGACCTGCACGTGGTGAGAAGGTGCATCTGGCATGGGAAATGTTCCTGCTGGGCTTTTCATGTGCTTATACACTTTCGCGCGTTGACACGGAAGACAACTAGCTTCTCAAGTACAGACGTCACGATTGATATTGCGCCAGACGAATCATATGGTTACGAGTTTAACCGATACACGAACGCCTGGATGAGACAAGCCGTGCAACGTGTCGAACAAGGTCTGTCGAAACTCGCGTGGGACGACTGGGCGCGGCGTGCCCAGAGATAAGTCGCAAAGTATAGTTCCGTCTGATAATGTCAGCGGAACAGGTTGTATGTCCAGTGAGGGAGACCTGCGTATCAACCTCAGGATCATGGATTTGCGCTGCAGCCATGGCTGTCAAGTCGATAGCGGTGCCGGTGTCGGCGGAGCTCTCTTGAATTCGGGATGTGCGTCGGCGACAGTGTTGTGCATACCTGAGACATGTCGTGTATCGGAGGCAAATTGTGTGATATAGGCTAGGTGGCACGACTCTCTAGGAGAGTATCAGTCTGTAGTCGAGCTCAGCACTGCTACACTGTTTTCTGTCAGTTAAGGATGATTGAACATTCAATTTTTGCGACTGCGTTTCGATATGCCGCGCCTATCATTCCTGATAAAATTTCTATAGCTGCTGTAGAATCAAGGTGAGCTGTTCCATCTAAAGAGGTTAAAAATAACACTTCCTTCCGAGAAGACAAGATGAGATAAATCGGATACGATTACAATGGCTTAAAGTTCTACCAAATGATTTTCAAACAGTAAATGTGGGAAAATGTCGTTGGTTGAATCAAAATCACGATAATGAGACAAGCCTATCATCTACGATCTGGACGTTTCCAACCGGTTTGGTAAGGGTCTGCGTCCTCTAACAAACTTTGATATGTCTGCCTCGGTCAGGGAATATGGTGGGTAGTCCGATGCCTTTCTGGCAACATCCAAACCCATAGTTTGTTTCAATTCCTATTTCCATATACTTTTACTGTGGTCTCCGTTATGAGACTTTCTCTAATGAAGTCCCAAAATACAAGGTCTTCTAGAGGGAGACATAAACTTTAGGTTATGCGGACGGTATCGTTCTTCTGCTCGACAGTAACGAATATGTAATCAACCCTAGGTTAACAATCCAGTTAATGGCGCTATGCATGTTTACAGTGCAGCCCCCCCCCCTAATGGAAGTCAAAGAGAAAGTGGGAGCAGCTGATCGACTTACTAATTCCGACAGCTACATAGGTTGCGAGAGGTGTGTTTACTGAAGCTAGTCCGTGAATGCCAGAATTGTGTTTATCAATATGCGATGCTCTCTGATAGCAGCATGCAATTTTCTTGGTCTTAATGATCACGTGTATGGAACCACGAAGAAGTTCTTTTACATCCATAGCGTAGACAGATACAATGAGATGCATAGGTAAGTGTTAATAAGCGGCTTTCAGTCCACTTCGACAGAAAAGTAGATAAAAAATTACATGGCAGCGAATTAGGCACGTACTAGTCGTGTCTACTCACGCCTTACCTATGATGGCATCGGCTTATTTACCGGGGATCAGATGCTGCAAGTTTTAGGAACAAGGAAGTTGGTCCTTCCTACCTTCCGGACTTGGTGTTAGGAGATCCTACTGCTGCAAAACGTCATACGCAACCGGAACCAGTGCCGTAGTACTTTGCTTGAATTGCAAGCCTAAAGCGTGTATGCAAAGCGGAGAATTGAAAGCCACGAAGAAACCGTTTCGCCAAAGATAACTCACCAGATAACTAAGCGTTTACGAACAGATGGTGTATAAAAATCGCAAATGCGTTAACACATAATGAATTATTAGTGCCGTGGGGATAAATATTACCTGTACTCTCGCTCCTTTTCTATTTTGTCTGAAGTCGAATTGGTTTGCTTCTGACAGCACGACAGCAAAGGACATGTCAAATATGTCTGCAGCAATGTTCGAACGAGAAATTCCCTGGTACTCTCCGATAGACAACGTACAAATTGAGGGTGCGGGACACCATATATATATACATATATATATATATATATATATATATATATATATATCATCAACAGTCTATAAGATAGACATAAAGCCAGCAAATCCATGCAATGGAAGTAATAAATACAGAGATCACAAAGAAGAAGGAAGGAATGAAAGTTACAAAAAACCCTTTTTGTTTTTGAATCTTGTTTATCTTTTTTGTTTTTTCATACCTCGTATTAGCTGTTGTTTTCCTGTTGACTGTTTGCGATCTAACTCAGGAGATTCAAGACAAATATTCGTACCCATTTTCCATTGGGCCCGGAACGGCCTCGAAGACCTTGCATCCCGTCCGCCCGATCAACGATTCACTCTCCTGAGGCCAGTAATCAAGATGGAGGGCGAGACAGGTATGCACCATGTCAACATTCTCATCAAGCGCAGCCATATCGGGGATATCAAATAACCAACATAGAATTTGAAGGAAAATAAGCACGCAAAATGGACACGAAAAATGAGGCAGAATAAACGAACTGAGCAAATCAAATAAAGCGGAATACATTTCATCCAGATTGAGAGGATCTAGTTTAAGTGTAAGTCAGTGTAGCCCAAATGCGGTGAAGAAGAATGATGTATGCAGCATTAACCACAGCATCAAGCAAAATGCCTTCGAACTATAGCAAAAATAGAACATAATAATGGGACAAAGGAAACAATAACTTATTATTTCATACAAGCAATTTTGAGCATTTTGTCTTCCGACGGGACAACAAACACTAAACGATACTGCAAAACAACACTGGCACCACTGATGTCTGTTGCGAGCCATAACATCCAACGTTTGCGACCACTGGGAGTCCGTGTTATGTTGTCCCCAGTCTGGACCGCGCGATGTTAAACATGTGGACGCGTTCTTCATGCTCATACTGCACGTCATTGTTTGATCACCTTGTCAAATCTTCCAATCGTTTTCGGAAAGCGCAAATGACGCTAAAAGGAGAAGGCGATAGGTAGGCATAAGCAATAAGTGGTCGAGCCAACGCATACAGAATCGGATAATATTTTGGAAGCAGGGACTGTTTGTTCCAAGAAATATGTCACGAACTTTCGTATTGCGTACGTGTTGTTGCCAACATATACCAACAATCCCTTTCAGACAACGGTTTTCAAAAACTAATAAGCGTCTCATGTCTTCCGAGCGGTCTCACAGTCCTAACACAGAGCCGTACACGCAGAGACACTATACACTTTTTCATAGATGTTGAGAATGACATGACTTGCCGAAATTCCTCCTCGTGGTGCCAGCTCGGTGTGTCGGGTATACCTCGTTCCAGCGAAGTGTCCGGCGACAATGTTCCACCTCGGTGGGGCATTGTATTCCAGCAATTGTGCTGATTTCATGGGAAGTATTGGACCCCTGTTTGGTGATCTACCAAACAAAAGACATATGAACTGAACATTCAGTCAGCGACTCCCAATGAGCGCGATTCCCTAAATTCGCCCCGCTGCCTTGCGAGTGGGTTATTTAGCCAAAGGCTCGGGGTGGAGTCGCCTAACTCAACTTCCCACTTCGGCTTGGGCAACCGGGTAGTATCACGCCCTCTAGCAAAACCATGGACTGTACTACTATGTGTTCATCAGCCACCGTTTCTGCTTATCACATCCAAGTGACTTCATCACACGCCAATTGTTTGTTTGTTAACAATCCTCACTTTCCGTTACCCGATTCATGTGTTCAACAATCTGGCTGCGATTCCGGTTGCGCCGCTGACCAAGGAGTTCAACCTATGGTTCTCCTTCGTCCCCGATCCTCGTTCCGTCTGGCGTGCTTCAACGTTCAGACACTCATGCAGATTGCACAGCAAGCTGATCTAACGTGCACCCTATGGTCCTTAGACATTGATGTCTGCTGCCTTTCAGAAACCCGATTGCAAGATCTCAGCACTGTGCTCACGTTGAGATCCACCACTGAGCACGAAGCCAGATATCACCTGCGTCTTTCTGGATCTCCAGAAGCAGCCTCAGCAGGTTTGGCTGGTGTAGTTATAGCACTAAGTGGCAAGGCCGAGGCGGCACTACTGGACTGGTTCCCGATTAACAGCCGACTGTGTGCAGTTCGGCTTCGGGGTTCATGTAGAATCAACAAGCACTGCGAAGAGAAACGCGACTTATTTGTGATCGCCGTGTACGCTCCAACCGACTGCAGTGGCGACTCGGTTAAGGACGAATTCCACCGGGATCTACATCAGCTCTTGACTATTGCTAAAATGTCGGATGTCGTTGTCTTTGTTGGGGATTTTAATGCACGGGTCAGCTGCCTGTTACCATTTGAACGCCACCTTAGTGGCCATCACGCGATCGATGAGAACCGCTCTGATAACGGAGAGAGGCTTCTAACATGGTGCGAAGACAACCACCTGTTTCTCTCGAGCACTAACTGCAGGCGTACGAAGAAGCGTTCCGCAATGTGGCATCCTCCTTCGCCAACACAACCGTGTGCTCGGATAGATCACATTGCAAGTAGCTTCAGATGGCGCGGCAGCGTACTGGACTGCGGGTCTTATTGGTCCATCTTCGCCGACCCAGATCATGCACTGGTCTGCGCGAAAATCTGTGTGTTTTTGGGTTCCCGAAACACGAAGCACCGCAAGATTAATGTAAACGGATTAACTGATTCCTCTGTCCAGGCGAGCTATCGGTCTTCAATTGCATATGCACTCAGTTGCAATCCACTGCAAGACGTGGAGCAACACTGGACTTGTATAAAGAAAGCGATGACCATTTCCGGACAGTCAAGTTGCGGCCTAACTGGACACCGCTAAAGGCTTGGATCTCTGCTCGTTCTCTGGGGCTGTTGGAAAGCCGCAAAGATATCCCCGCAGAATCAGATTGCAACGAGCGGTGTTGTTCTGCCAACCGGCTGCTCAAGCAAAGTCTACACAAGGATCGCGAGGCATGGTGGTCTGAGCGTGCTTTAGAGATGGAGAGCGCTGCCCTCTCTGGGCACACTTGGAAGCTTTTCCAACTCATTTGGTCCACTAGCCTCAGGAAGCCTAGTGTCAGTAAGGTCATTTGCGAGGTGGATGAATCTCCGATCACCAACCGAGGTGAGGCGAATGGACCGCTGGGCCGAGCACTTTCACTCGTAGTTCAACTGGCCTCCACCATCCATCAGTACATGCAGCACATCTTGTTGTCCACCGTGGCTCGTTCCAATGAATCCACCCAGTGAAGCGGAAGTCTGCCTCGAGATTCGACGCTTGAAGTAGCTCAAGGCTGCCGGATCAGACGGACTTCCTCCGGAGCTGTTCAAGTACGGCAGTGTGGCAATCAGTAACCAGCTGACCGCGCTGTTCGCAAAAATCTGGCATGAAGAGAAAGTGCCTTCCTCTTGGGGCGAATCAGTTATTGTCCCGATTTTCAAGAAAGGCGCTCGTGTAAATCATCGCGGGATCAGTCTTATTTCGATTGCCTCCAAGCTACTGGCATCCAGTCTGCTCTGTAGACTATCCCCAGTGCGTGAATCATACTACCGTGAGGAACAAGCTGGTTTCCGTCCCGGCCAAGGATGCGTGGATCAAATCTTCACGCTCCGCCAACTCCTTGAACATCGCCACATAAATCACATGCCCACTATCGTTGCATTCCTAGGCATACGCGTTGCTTTTGACTCCGTTGATCGACCTGCATTATGGCGTCGCTTGCTAAAGTACGGGGTGCCAGAGGAGAATACCGTCATCTTACGAGCACTTTACCTTCATACGTCAGGCAAGTGAGGGTCTATGACAACCTCCCCTCGCAACTTGCTGTCAATAGCTGCGTGCGACAGGACTGCCTTATGTCCCCATTCCTCTTCAACTTCGCGATGAAAAACATTCTGTTGAATACTCTAGGTTTCCAACATTTTGGCCGAGAGCTTCTACCGGGTGAGCGTGCGACCGACTTAGAGTATGCTGATGATATCGCTTTACTTGGTGACGATCCTCAGCGTATGCAACTCATGCTGGATCGTTTGACCCTTGAAGCATCTAAACATGGCATGAGCTTCGCTCCATCAAAGTGTAAACTACTGCTCAAGGATTGGCTTTCACCTACTCTCGTGCTCACGCTCGAAGGTGCACAATGTGAACAAGTAGATAGTCTCGTCTACCTTGGGAGCAGTGTTTCTGCTGACGGCACTACCAACAAAGAAGGTTTTCTTTGCATCGCTAAAGCTCGATCAACGTTTGTCAATCTGAGGCACATGTGGCGTCGTCGCGACTTCGCATTCTCACTAAAGGGTCGCGTTTACAGCGCATCAGTTTGCTCAGTATTGTTGTATGAGTGCGAGTCCTGGCCGATTCGCGTGGAAGACATGCGTCGTCTTTCTGCGTTCGATAACGGTTGCTTAAGGAGGATTGCTTGTTTTTGGTGGCAATATCGAGTTAACAGTAACGACGTTCGATGTCACATCTTGGGGAATGCGAGTATTCTCTTCAACAAACTGGTTTTGTTGCGCCAGTTAAGATGGCTCGGCCAAGTCCTACGCATGGCATTTGAGCGTCTACCGCGTCACCCTCTATTTGCTCGTCAAGGACCTGGCGGGAGGCGACCGCATGGTGGTCGGCCTTCTACAGGGCGACAGCACATGCTATCGCTGACGCCGTGTCTAGCCGCTGTTGGATCCGTACGTCTTCCAGGATGGGGACCCAAAGATGAGGAGTACCAATGGCTTAACACTCTTGAAGACATGGCCCACAACCGGAATCAATGGAAGAATTGTGTACAGTATTGTATTGATTCACATGTTTAATACTACAAATATTGAAAATGACAAAAAGGGAGAAGAATCCGCGTGTGAAAAACAAACCAAAAATGTTTTGTTCTACTTTTTGTCAGAATGTTCTATTCTTCCTGCGGCATATTAGCTGAAGTGCATTGCTCACCCTGAACTAACGTGCCACGATGATTATGATGCGATGACGGCCCCTCATCCGCAGATGTCCATGGTTTTATGTTGGCTCTGTGTCTAGTTGCTAGACTGCTGAGATTACGTATACACATATACAGGTGTCTCAGTCTGATGAAAGCAAGGCAGACCTTGTTCACTTATCATGAGGTTGTTGAGAGGCAAATTAGCGCTGTCCCTCATTCCTTCCTCTTACATCGTCACATCATTCGATATCACTCAAACTGATGGCCTATGAAAACAAGGGCACATTGATAGGTTGGATAAATTAGATACATCTGATTTTCTCTTCGTCTATACTGCTATATTCTTCGTGTTACTCAGACTGACGGCCCATTGGTAGCCTATGAAAACATGGACAAATTGAGGGTTTGTATAGATAGGGCTTTTTCGTCATCTACTTTACTATCTACTTTACTATCATCATGGATTCACCGAGCGGTCGCAAATAAAGTGTCTTCCTGCGCTATTCGCTCTGAAATCTTCGGATTTATTCTCACAGTGACCTACGCACTACCATTCGATTGGGCTCCGCGAGCTCCTCCTACCACTGTTCACC